ATTATCTGCTTATGGGCAAGATGAAGCAATCTAGACTGCAAAACATCACACACAGCTCAGTGGATTCACAGAAGGTTAAACAACAGTGGCCTGACTTTCTTTAATCTGACAATATCAACTGGAAGCAATTTTCTAATGGAAGTACTCCAGTTCTCTGTCTTTGATGTTCAAAAAAAAAATTAAGATAAACAGAAATCAAGATTTGTCATCAAATTTTAAATCAAACAAAGCTAGGAAGCAAATCAGAGTTCAGAACTGTTTCAGTGATTTGGAATATGTCAAAAACATTGTGAATGAAATTTAACAGTTCCATATTTAGGCTTTCCAAATTCAAATGGTATCTCAACATATGGTGGACCAGATATTCTGGAGCACCTTTCTTCTCAAAACACCTCTATCCTGGATAAAACAGACTTTGTCATGGGTTGCTTGGCTGAAAATGTGTTAAAATAAGAGCAGGGGGAAGTGAGCGGTAAATAAATGTGAAATGCCTGGATGTTCCAAGACCAGGGTTGTGCACAGCAGACCCATAAACAATATTGGGAGACTAAACCTTAGCCAGGTTGAAGTTGAAGAAGCTGCACCCGAGAGCCCCATATTTATCAGGATCCTCGAATGGCTAGAGCAGCCTCAGGTGGGTAGTGTTCTTCACTCCAAACACAAACAAACAAGGGTGCTCTCTGTAAGACAGCACCCAGGATTCTCACAGATCATGATTAGCCAAATACGGTGATTTGGAAGACATATCTAAAGAAATTACTCCGAATGTAGCACAGGGTGATATGACATGCAAAATAAGAAAAAAGATATTATAGAACATGCAGGGTAGACTGAGAAGATCTAAAAATCCATTTAATCAGCAACAAAGGAGAACAGGGAGGAGAGGCCAAATTTGAAGTAGTAATAGCTGAGAATTTCCAGAACAGAAAAGACATACACAGATGTTGGAAGAAGTATAACAGATCTAAAGCAGGATGAATAATAGGAAATCCACACCAAGAAACATGGTAGTGAAACTGCAGAATACTAAAAACAAAAGATCTTAAAAGTAGCTAAATATAAAAAGGACAGATTACTCACAAAAGAAGGAATTAGACAGGCAGATTTTTCAATGGCAACATTGGAAATTAAAAGAAGAATAATGTCTTCAAAGACCTGAGAATTGGACAGTTACCATTTCAAGAATGAGGAAGAAATACAGATTTTTAAAAAGTGAATTTACAACTGGAAGACTTGACTAACTGAACTTTTAAGATATACTTCAGAAAGAAGAAACATGATCCAATTAAATGAAGTGAAAAGTGAAATTAAGTGAAATGGAAAGAGGAATAGTGAGTAAAGAAATTGGTAAATACAGTGAATCTTAGCAAACCTGTCAGTAGAAAACAACAGCGATAACAACGATAATAATATATAGTTCGTAGGTTTAGAACAAGGTCAGAACTAAAATGCTGAGCAACAATAAATTACAAAAGAGGTGATTGGTGTTCAAGTGTCCTAATGCCTTTGCATTTGTGTGAGAAGTGAATTAGAATATTAACTTTGGCCTTTGTTAAATACGTGTGGTAAAATGTCAGTGGTATTCACTAAAACAATACAAATATGACATATATATACACACACATACATATCTTTCAAAATTCTAGAATGGGGAAAATGACATAAGCCAATAAAAACAAAAAACCCAGCAATCAACTCAAAAGCAGTATAGTAAAAAAGTGAAATTCCCCCCAAAAAAGTAAAAATAAGTCTAGATATACTAATAATCACACTAAATGTAAATTGACTAAATTCATCAGTTAAAAGTCAGAAGTTGTCAAACTGAATATTAAAAAATCTCAGAGGCAAAGACACAGGACATTTGGAAAGGCTGAATGTAAAAGTGTGGAAAATGATACACCTGACAAACACTACCCAAAAGGAAGCTAGCGTAGATAAATTAATACTAGGTAACACAGACTAACAAAAAATATTATTAAGAATGAAGAGGATCACTACATAATGATAAAAAGTTCAATTCACCAGCAAAATATGTCAGTTCTAAACTATAGAAACTTGAGTCTTATAATTACTAAAGAAATTGATAAAATTTTTAATCAAAGAAAAACGTTAAAATAAAATAAAAAAGAAAAAAGTTAAGTCCAGATGGTCTGAGAAGCATGTCTAAACTTTCATGGAACAGATCATTCTACTTTCTCACAAGCTCCTCTGGAAAACAGAGAGGATATATCCCCAATTCACCCTGCAATGCTAATCTAAATTTGATATCAAAACAAGGTCAATCCAATATTACTCATAAATCACTAAAAACAGAAACCTAAAAATCCTAAGTAAAATGAAGCTCAGCTCTGCTACTCATCAGCTGTCTCTAAAAACCTGAGCTTCTTCATGTAGGGATAGGGGATGATGATGAAGAACTGACAATGGTACCCACCTCATAGGACTTCAGAGAAGATCAAGCGAACCCAAGCATTTACTGGGCTTGCCCTGTCCACAGAACTGTCTTTGAATAGGCAAAGGCCAGTCATGGAAAAGAGAAGATGAAGGCCCCAAATGTTGGCCAGGAATCAATGGGTGAAGGTTGCCAGCAGGTGTGTCCATGTGTGTGCATGCGTGTGTGTATATGTGCGCACGTGTGCATGTAGGGCAGAGCTCTTCTTTTAAGAAAACTCATTTCTCCAAGGCATCTTGCTGGATGCCTCACAGGTTTCATTTTAGCATCCATATCACCCATATCATTGTACCAAGACCTCTCCCCCTTTGCTGTCTCTGGTGTCTCTCCTGGGGCCTTTAACCTCTTAAAACATGAATATTTTAATGAAACTTTCAAAGATGGTGCATCTGATTATGCCATCCAAATCATGATGCTTCCAAAGCATTGAGCATCCTTTCTTCTCATGTTGTCTCTTCTCTGAGCTGCTGAGGTCATGCAGGGAGCCAGGTCACACAACTATATGGATGGATCATAGTCTGATCACCCTTCAAGCAGTGGTTCTAGTGCCCAAGTTGGGGTTTTGGGGATTGGGAGTACTGCGCCCAATGGAGCCAGAAGCAGGAGAAACCAAGCAGCACACAAGTGGCTGGGAACAAGCCAAAGGGCCAAAATGGGACAGACACTAGGGATGGGGCAGGCAAAGCCAGGAGGAGAAGGCAGTTGTGGGGAACAGACTGTCATCCATTCTTCAGTGCTAGTTCTCAAATGGATTGTTCTCATTTAAATCCATGGGGTGATCTGATGGCAAACAGTGGCCAATGGGCATGTCTTCACTGCCTACTCTGTCCTGAGCATTGTGCTTTTCATGCATTATCCCATTTGTTTTCATATTCACAGCAGCAGTGAGTGTGGGTATTATTACTTCCACCATATAACAGAGGGGGAAACAGGGCTTAGGAGTTAGGTAACTTGCCCAAGGGCATGTAGCTAGCGATCGCTGGGGTAGACACTTGTCTCCTGAATCCACGCTCTTAACTGCTGTGTCACTTGATGCTCCATGGTACCTCCTAGGACCCTGTACAATACTCACATTTTACAGACTGCCATGGAGACGCCCCAGAGTCCAAAACGACAGAATGGGCATTGGGGGCAGTTCAGGAAATTTCTACGGAGGGTCTTTCCCTTAAGAAGTGCACCTGATTTCTCTTCCCATAAGCCACTTGAGGTGACCTCTGAAAACGGTTCACTATTCACTTGACCCAGAAAATGCCACAAAATCATGCAAATCAATAGGTTTAAATCTTTGTGTTCACTTTAAGAACACTCATGAAACTGCCCAGGTCATTAAGGGTGTGCATATCTCCCAATCCACCAAGTATCTAAAGGACGTCACTTTACAGAAGCAACGTGTGCCATTCTGTCCTCAGAATGGTGCAGTTGCGAGGTGTACCCTGGCCAAAAACAGGGGCTGGGTGTAGGGTTGATGGCCCAAAAAGAGTGGTGAATTTGCATTGCACATGCTTAAAAATACAGAGAGTAATGCTGAACGGAAGGGTTTAGACATAGATTCTCTGGTCACTGAACACATCCAGGTGAGCAAAGCCCTCAAGATGTGGTGATGGACTTTGTGAGCTCGTAGTTGGACTAACCCACGTGTGTGCTCTCTCCACTGAGCCCACTGAGATGATCCTCACTGAAAAGGAGCAGAGTGTTCTCATATCAGGAGAGGAGACACAAAAGAAAAAGATATCCCAGAAGAAAGTGAAGAAACAAAAACTTATGGCCTGGGAATAATTTCAGCATAAAATAAATGCTAGTAAAAGTACAAAAAAAGAGAAATGCACTACATTTTAGTGACAGCAGCTCCCCATCATCGTGGCACGTGAGATCACAGCCTGGTTGAGTATGACTGGGTCTCCGTGGAAAAACAACTTCCACTGACTTCTGCCTCCAGAGGAGCCGGCTTCCAATCTCTGGGAATTAATATCAAATATAGTTTCTTTTAAGTTTAATGCTCTCTATTCTCCAACAGGGAATAAAGAGCAGTAACTTACAGGCATTCAGAGAGACATTGTCCTCTCTTGAGTTTCAGGGAAGCTGCCAGCTTTTCAGATACAGTTTTGAGCCTTTATCCACATCACATTTACATGTGAGACCTCCAAGGCAGTGCAGAGTAATGGCTGGGAACACAGATTGCTCTGGAAGGCGGACTGCCATTTACTGAATATACACTTGTGACAAGTTTCTTACTCTCTGAGTCCCAGTTTACACCTCTACAAAATAGGGGTAATAAAGTACTTACTTCATAAATGTGTTCTCAGTGTTACTAAATTCTGAACAAAGGAAGTACTGGCTATTATTACTCCTCTCCCCTCTACCCATTCCCCTCCTGCTGCCCCTGTTCCCAGCATGAGGGTGACCAATTCATCCTGATTGGCTTGGGACTTTTCCTGTCTTTACACTGAACACCCTCACCCCCTCCTCAGTCTTGAGCAAACCAGGATGGTTGACCACCCTCCCTGACGCTTCAGTCAGAGGAGTCATAATAGTCCAGATAAAATGGTGGCCAGTGGGGCTCAAGAAGGTTTGAGTCAGCCGCGATGGTGAGCGGGCGCGGGGAGAGGGGCGCCGGGCCGGGGCCAGGGGTGGCGGGCCGCGTTGGTGGGGAGCTTGGGCTCCAAGCTCACACCGGCCTGCCGCCCCCAGGATGTGTTTCTCATGATCCGGCACCACAAAACCACCATCTTCACTGACGCCAAGGAGTCGAGCACCATGTTCGAGCTGAAGCGCATCGTCGAGGGCATCCTCAAGCGG